ATTTAGGTTATGTTTGGTTTGTAAATGTTTTCTTACCTTTCCTTTCCTTTCCTTAATTTTTTCTTTAAATCAAACACAGCCTAAAGGGATGATTACAACCTTCCCAAGGTTTAAACTTCCTAAAATCTTTTTGTATTAATATATTTAAGCATATCCAGATATATGATACCCATATTTTACTCCTTGAGCATTAGAGAGTGATATAATAAGGGATTGGCTTTTAATTTGTATAAAAGAACCCATACCCAACTCACGCTACTACTGCAGTTTAATGGCCAGATTCTCTGTATATAAACGGAGATTACTACTGGGTATATCTAACTTGGAGGGTTATTTGGAGATATCACAATTAACAAGAAAAGAATTGTGGCTTTAATCGTACTAAAAATATACCTTTTTATTTATTAGGAAAATTCTCAATCAATAACTTTAAAATATGATAAGTACCCAAAACTTTTGAAATGTAACAATCGGGTATCTACTGTTAATAGACCATTAAGTAGTCTACTTAATTGGATCATTAATTGGCGTCATCAGATGACACCATATATAGATTAAATAATTATAAAATGTCAAAATTACCCTTATTTGATAATTTTCGGACCTCTGTACCCTTTCTCTTTAAATAAATACAAGAAGGGTAAAAGACTCTTTCATCTTCAGTCCAAGACGTTGATAGTGGAGGGAAATTCAAGTCTTGAAGACCTGGAACTGTTCGATTTTGTTGCTGATGCTTATATTCAGGCGATGATGATGAGTTGAGTGAGTTGCATCGCTGAAGGTAAATTTTTCCTGACTTCAATGGAAAACAAAGAGATGGGTTTGGTCAGAGACAATCGCAAAAACAATCAGAAATACAGAAATTTAGTATTTTGTATAAGTACGAGAAACAGAGAGGAATTGATTTTGCTTGTTCTAAAGAAGAAAAAGAGTTTAATTTTTGGAGAACCTACAAGTTTGAAACTCGGAGAGAGAGAGAGAGAGACAGAAAGTAGAAGAAAGAAAAGGGCGTTAGAGAAATAGCTAAAAAAGGGAAAAGATTATTATTAATCAAAATAATAAAGTCTCGAGGATTTGAAGTTCAGAACTCAGAGGATTTGGAGTTGCAGAATGAGAAGGATATATAATTAAATAACATTAGCGTTTAAAAATAATAACCATCACCAGTTCACCATTGAAAGGCGTCGATCTATGACACTTCAAATAAAATAAAATAAGTCCAGGATGAAATCCAAACCTCAGAAAAAATAAAAAATAATAAAAAAAAAACAGAGAAAGGGCATCGACTTCATGTTTTAAAGCAAAAGAATCACCAGAAAAAATATTAGAGAAGAAATATTGATTGGAAACCAAGAAAAAAAATTACAGACATTAACTTTAAACAAAACCAACCTGCATTCAAATTCATGTTATAAAACAGAAGAATCACACGAAATTCATTAAGAATCAGGGTTAATCGAAAACCCAAAAGTACCTTCAATTTGAAGGCTTCAAATCAAGATGTTTTTCCTAGCCGTTAGGGACCTGCAAATCGAGATCCAATTACGTGTAACCAAGCTTCGAAGGACACCCACCAAGACGTTTTACCCTATATTAAGTTACATAGAAAATGGATAGAAATAAAATAGCGAAAAAAAATCATTGTTTGTCTTCTCCAACGCCAGCAATAAGTTTTTTCTCCGATGACGGTGGGATTAAAAACACGTCTAATGGCAAATGCTCTCTGTTCCAGCGATCTTTTCCCAATAAGCTTTCTCTTCTCTGAAGAAAGTGGGATTAAAAACACTTTTAATGGCGGCAAATGCTCTCTTTTCCAGCGATGTTTTCCCAATGTGTTCTCTGTTCTGACAATAAGTATTCTCTCCAGCTATGTTTTCCCCACGATTTCAGCTTTTCTGGCAGCATATTTCGCTTATCAGCACCGGCGAGAACTATACCCTTCGGAAGGTTAGAGCAGTAAACAGTGGTTCCCCACTCGCACAGGTCATTTTTGTTATTTTGAAAATGATTCAAACCCAATTATCAAAAATGAGATGGGTATTTATGTCTTTTTATATGCTAGTTGATAGCTCGTTACTGACAGGTAGCGAATTGTTGCATTTCAAAAATTAGGATACTGAATTAGGCATTTTAAAATTGTCACTCGATATTGATCGGGAATTTTTCCGGTAACCTTTAATTCAATGCTCCACACAGCCAAAATATTGGCTGCTTGCCTGCTTCTATCTTTACCCAAAAACAAGAGGCTTCTTCTATCTACCACCCATTGTTTTATATTTTGGGCTCTGCTTCAACACCTTGGACAATTGGAATCTCAGTGTTTGTATCTGTGTCCCACTAGTTACGGAAATGCCAACTAATCAGTTATATAGATGATTTGAGAAGACATTATATGTGTAATAAGATAAAGAAGTCGAATATGAGTTTGGATTTCCTACTCACAAATTCTTAAAATACTCTTATTCACTGGACACTACAATTGCACATTGGAAATCTCTCTCTTATTATTCATGGGCCATTTCCCATTACACGATGTGAGAAAAGTTTGAGAGTAGGAGATCTGGAGTAGACACCGATACCTAAATTCTGAATTATTTGTGAAAAATTACCTGCTTGTTTGCAGTTCAATTTTGCATTCATTTGTTTGAATCTATGACTTTTTACACTTCTATCCAATAGAAAATTTGCATTTTTTGCCCCAAGTGGCAGTTTGAATTTATCACTCAGTTTACAAATATGTAAAATGTAAAACCTTGCATTTTGTATTATTTTGTATGTATTTGTAATTTTATATTGTATATATTTGTATTTATACTCTTTACAAACTGAGCCTAACATTTCAAAAATTGATGCAAAATTTGCATCATCTTCCTACCTCAATTGCCTCTTGTATAAGAGTGGGGACTAGAGTAGAGAGCACATCATCTTGCTTCCTACCTCCCTCTACAACAGATAACTTTTCTCCTATCTTCTTTTTTTTTGGGTATAAAGTAGGGACCACTTTATTTTACTTCTCACAAACAAGTATGACAGGACCAAATCTGTAATAAATAAAAATTTACACCCAGCCTATTGCACTCTCATGTATTTTTTTTTTTTTGGTATTTAACAATTAACACAACACATTAATAACTCTCATGCATGCATTTAGGAGATGTTTAGGATTAATTCTTCTGATGAGATTTTTCAAAAATCACTGATTTCTAAGATCATTGATTTCTCAAAAATTAGAAAAATTGCTTGTTTGGTATACCATTGTTGCCATGCCAGTCAATTTCTCATAAATTAATTAATTATGAATTTATTTGGTAGTGATTATCAACAGTGACTTTTGTGTTTATAAGCAAGGTTTAAAATATTAATACATCCGATACACCGCCTATTGGGCAGTATCAATAGCTTTTTTTATTTTTTTAGTTCTTTTTTTTCAAATTCAGTTCAGAAGGCCAGTTTAAAGTCTATCCACCCCCTGAACCGATCAAAATCCCAAAACACTCCCTAAAGAGATATATCAACAAGCTTCCAATATAATATGTATCGACCGATACAGCTCAATACGTATCAAAATTTCGAGTATTGCTTCTAAAAACTATTTCCCCTATCCATATCAGATGCCATACTATCCATAAAAAATTAGAATCGAGCTGAAAGGAAGAATCATCATTTTTGGTGACCCCTCTTTTCAACCCGATTATAATAATCAATTTCTGAGCAATTTGCCGATTTCCAAACACCACCTTACACCAGTGCAAGTGAAATTGGTAGTTTGACACTATAAACAAATTGAGGCTTTAAGGTTAGAGTCATGTGTTGGCGTGTGATAGAGCGATAGGATAGGACTAAACCACTACTATTCATAATTCATAAATCAAATCTATCCGTAGACACAGTACACTAATGGAGAAGTGCAGATTCCCGAGCATCAAAGTTTCATTCGATAATCGATACCTTATCTCTCTCACGAAGAAACACAAGCAATATATATCATGGCGGAGAGGGAGAACGCGACAATATCATTTTAATTTGAGGAGGAAATCCACTGAACGAGTTGAAGCAATTCATGGAAACTTCACCCTACAGACAAATTGAACATAAGAAACGACAGACATCGAAATTGAATGAATTTATTGCGCTGGTCCCACTGTTTTTGTCATGCAAAGAAAGAAATCCGAGAGTTGCATCGTCTCGTTGTTTACTAGCATTTCTCGAAATTTAAACTTACAGTATGGATACGAAAACTATATATAATATAGGTTATTTACTCCACCGACCAACTGTTTCCCTACACTCGAAAGAAATAGAACAGAAAACAATTAAGTATCTGAAAAATGAACGAAAATTTGAGCGAGGATTCGGTTTTGAGCACGAATCCAGTTTTTTATGCAGGCCAAGAGAATAAAAATTACCAAAATCAAAGCACAAAAATACTACTGTTCAGAAAGAAATTCTAAAAAGTAAACCAACCCCAGAAAGCAAAACCCCTTACAATAAAAGAAGGAAAAGCAAACGAGACTGATTCAAAGTCCAAAAGTAATAGCCCAATACTATGTATAAAGTATAATAGAATCCCTTGGATAAAAAAAGTATAATAGAATGGTATACCATCCAAATCACCTGCAGCTTTTCATTCTGATACCCAAGGAATTTGTCGCCAATCGTTCTCAGATTAATTCAAAAACAAACAAGCTCATTTAACCCATCCAATATGCTAAGGTCTACAGCTCTCAACAGCTGGCATGTATTAGAGAAGCTAAGGCCATCTTATTAAATGCCTGCTGTGTTTAATTAGCACAGAAACCAAGTTCATCACCAACAGAAAAACAGAGCATAAAATAAGTAAATAAAGTACCAGTAGAATAACTTAAGAGGAAAAAATAGTACCAGTGGAATAAACTCAAAGAGCAATGGGGAGAGAGAGAGAGAGAGAGAGGGAGAGGGAGGGTTAATTGTAGTATTTGAAGTTTTGAACTTTACTGAACGATAAAAGTGCATCAAAAGTATGAGGAGCATAATTCAGAGAAATTTGCATAAAAAAATCAGACTGATATAAATACAAGCTCAACAATCTTTTGGTTAATGGATGAGTAATTAATCAAGAGAATGCAAAAGAAAATAAATTCACAGGCCCTGAGTTCTTTCGGGCCATGGCATGCCTATGTTAACAGAGGGAGGAACATCCACATGGGCATCTGAAGAACTTGGAAATTTGCCCTTCTTGGACCAAAGCCAGATCTTGGAGACAGAGAAGCTTTCACCTTTACTCCTACCACTGAGCTTCTTTCCCTCAAGATCCGCATCAATTGACGAATTCCCATTCTGTGCTGCTCTCCCTTTCACAAGCTTCGCAGCCCCGGCACCGTTTCTGTCAGGGCGCAGGGCGACTTGCAGATTGGAATCACCAACAACATACTGAAACGAACCCATGGAGTAACATCTCCTGGCATCCAAATTACTACTGCTCGTCTCTCCTCTTCTTTCTCCTTCCCCTCCACTATTCAAATTTCTGAACTTCCCAAGTCGCACAGGGAAAACCCTCTTTTCGGTAGGAATTTCCTCCATTTCCACTGGTTTCTGACTAGAAGCAAACCCATCCTCTCCATCGCCTGGACACCCACTCTCCTCCCTTAAATCGTCAAAATCAAAAACCGGATTCTCAATGGCAAGGCTAGGGCTGTAAAGCGTCCCTCTACAGAGAGGGCATGTTGAATTTGACAGGAGCCATGTGTCTATACAGTTAATATGAAAAGCATGACTACACATAGGAAGCAACCTCAGTTTGTCTTGCTCTGAAAATTCACATAGGCAAACTGCACAGTCAAATGGCTCTTTCAGACCCATTATCTCTTTGTAGAGGAAAACAGGGAGAGCATCTATAAAAGCTTGATCTAGACCAGAGTCATGCAGATGGAAGAGCTGTTGCAATTGCCTTTGGAGAGCATCAGAACCAGAAATTTCCGGGTATCTGTTAGACTGAGATGTCGAAGAGGAAGACGGTTGCTTTATAAGGAATCTGACAAGCAGGTGGAGCAAGCCAGAGATGAAAAAAATAACGGCTAGAATAACTATAATAAAAAGAGCAGCAGGGCTGATTCTACTGCTAGTTGATGATGAAGGAGTTGATTCTTTCTGGTAATTATTGTTATTATAAGGAGATGAGAATGAAGATGAAGGGGAAGCAGAAATAGGAGAAAGCAGAGGAGCGAGAGGAGGTGGGTGGGTCACAAGACCAACTTTTTCCATCATTTGAATCCGATTCCAAGACATTTTTAGGAGATGGGTAGGCTCAAAAAACCATCTTTGTTTTCAGCTTTCCCAGATCAAACACAAAGGCATTCGTAGCTAGGCTAAAAAAAAAATCATCTTTTTCCCCTGCCTTGTACTCAACACAACTCATATCTCTCAAATGCGAACTGGCTAAAAGGACTAATTTCTTTTATTTGCAATGAGACGAAACCCAGCTGATTTTAGCAAATATCTTGGCTCAAAGTCTCAAACAAAAAAATACATATAACTTTTTCTTCAGATTTGAGATGAAATGAGTTGCCTGGGAGATGGTTTAATGCTAAAATACCTTTTCCTTTTCTTTCGTTGATTTCACATGAAACCCAAGTCATTTATTGCGAAAGAAAAGGCAGGGGAGTGGACTTACGAGCGAGAGGTTAAGGTTGCAGCTTACCTACCTCTGATATGGAGAATCCACCATTAAAAAGAACCCACTTCATTTGCTTTAATGCTCTTATCCCGGACAGCTCTGCAGCAGCAGAAACCCTAAGGCGAACAGGTTTTCTGAGAGTTTTTAAGTTGTTCTATAATAAGGGCAAAGGAAGGAGAAAAAGGAGGGGAGAAGGCCGCGAAACTGGAAAAGTTGAACCGAAGGCTGGGTGTAGGCGTGTGTAGCTTCCAATTTCCAAAGGCAGAGAGAGAGAGAGAGAGAGGGGGGGGGGAAAGGCCGGAAGGGGAAGCCCAAAAAACAAAAAGAGGAATTAAGGGTAATTTTGGTCCATTACCAATACAAGGGTGTTTTGGTAATTTCATTTGCACGGTACCTGATCCTTATATCGGAGGGAGGTACGTACACTTTGGAAGTCTCCTTAGATTAGATTTTACCTCGAACGCAGTAGTGACTGGTGAGCCAGTGATTGGTCATTGGTGACCTACCCAACCGCAAAGTCTCCTCAGATTTGCTTGAACGACGCGATTGGTCAATCCCCCACGGGCCACAACGGCACAACCAACCATAATAGCGTTCAGAACCAGACGATTAGCATCCAACGAAACCCAACCGTAATTCCAACAGCCAAGGAAAATGCTAACGAAACGAGGCCCGACCAGAGCGGAGACCATTTTCGTCAATGCAACTATAAATACAAGAATGCATAAGGACACTTTGGTCATTATAAAGGTATGCTTTTCTAGAAAACAGAGCATAGCTAATCATAAATTCAGTCATGAACTCTAATCTATGGAATCAACGATCTTGGTCATATACCCATTTGAAAGAGATGGGCATAGCAAAGCATAGAATCATTTACAAGTTCAATTGACGTTCAAAATTGGGAATCCCATTACCTCCACACCATCGGTGGTTGGTAATTGACTAGCTCATAGTGATAGATGATTCTGACTTCTGACTTCACATTCTTTGTGGGTAACTAACTGGCTATGACCCATGAGGCCATGAGGCCATGAGACCATGAATCCAGGCTCTAAGTCCGTGCCTTGTAATTTGTAGGGACACGTACATCATAAAGCATGCTATTGCCTTCTTATCTTAAGCGCAAAGTCTAATTCAAGTGAGGTTCGAAAGACAAGGACAATTGGGAAATGCAGAGAATGAGGAATTATTTTATGTGCCACCTGCCCACCACTTGTCAATAGATGGTCACTTTGATTAAGATCATCTAACAACATTTTCCTGTCTACTTACTTTAATAATCGCAATTAGGTGGAATAATTACCCTGCCTCGGTTTTTTATCTTGTCATTATCCGCTAATGACAACAGAGGTTCTCTGATCAGTGGGGTCTTTGAAAAAAAAATCACAACAGGAATCTAATCAATCAATAGTGACAGTAAACAGTTTAATGATCAGATGGATGCGATCTTCCATGAGGTGGACCCTTCACTATAAACGAGACATTGATCTCATAGAAGATGCCCATGACTATCTTAATGGAGTTAGTATGATATACGCATCTTAGTAGTAGTAACCTTATTATATATGAGTTGTTTTCCTTTCCCTACTTAAAATTTTATCTAATAAAGCCATTACAGTTTGAAAGGAGATTCTCCATCTAATTAATTAAATAATCATTTTTTGGCAAGCTCTAGTTTGTCTAAGCATCAAACAGATCAACACGAAACCAGAACAAATATCTATGCAATTCTTTTATAGTGAGTGGAAATTCAAATACAACCCAAGACTAAATTACAACCCTGGGGTGTTTTACAACATGAATTGAAATTTATCAGTAAAAAAAAGAAAGAAAGAAATATATTGTTCCACTGTGTTCTGTTTTGAGATGACTTGTTTGTCTCCCACTTTTTTCTCACATTACCACTTTATCTCTTTTCAATTCACATTAATTAAATGTATTGTACCATCACCTTATACCATGACTAAAAAAATCACTTATTAAAACATCTTTAATTATTATTATTATTATTATTATTATTATTATTATTATTATTATCACATAAAATCTTCTCTCTCTACTTTTGTTCATTTTTTGTTGGCTTTAACCCTCATTGACACTCTTATGTAAACAACATCTCATACACGCAAGGATTTGCTTCGTTAGTAAAGTCCTTTAAATGTTGTATTCGGCTTTGATCAGCGTAAAGCCCGTTCGAACAGTCTTTATTATTTTGCATTGAGAATATATTCGTATTTATATATTTTATTTTAGGGAGAGATATTCTCAATTCGAGATTATAAAAGGCTGTTGGAACGGAGTGGGCACGAATTTGCCCTGAAAGCCGATCTCGTTGAGCTAGGTCTTTGAATCTGTCTACCTAGGTCACAGTGCCTTGATACTCAGGCCAGCCTGGTCCAGTTGGTATGAACAGGATGAGTCCTGATCATCTATCTGGGTATTCGCATCAGCCATAGAATGAATCCTCTCGTGTTACTGACCAACATTTTGGTACCAAGCCAATTGATTCTAGACAGTCGCTATATTCACTTGATGCAAAAGGGTGAGAACCAACTCGCCTAGGTGAGTAGGTTCTCCTTCAATCCTCCCCTCTCCTCTCCTTTCCTCTCTATTCTATGAGTCCCGATCTGTGTCTCATACCAACTTCATAGTATGGATTTGGCTGCACATCGGGAACATTTTCTGTATTTATATTTATTCATGGAGAGATGTTTTCAATATAGGGTGAGATGTGGCTGTGAGATCGGTATGAGACGCTCTCTATAAGGAGCTGATTCTAATTCCCATTCTACTGCCCTCTCTTTCCTCTCTCATTGTTTGTTCCTTTCCCTAACTCAGATTTAGGGTTTGTTCATTTCCTCTTAACTCTTACCTTTTAAGAGGAATCTTTTTAACTTTAAGAGAAAATTGGGTGTTTGTTTCCTCTTATCTCTTATTTCTTAAAGTGTAATCATACAATTTTTTGATTTCCAATGACACCCCCAAAAAGACAAACAAAAACTCTCATATATAGGGTCAAAATGGATAATTGATAATTTTTAGAATTCAGAATTCAAAACAATATTATTCATTCAGAGTTTAGAGAAAAGAAAAGTTCCACCAATACCAATATACATCTTAATGTAATTATTGCACTTTTAGATATCATACTTGATGAAGGGTGATTTGGCACGACCTAGCAAGAAGGGGACACGTGGGCGCGATCCGATCGAGGGGTGACAATTCAGTTAAGCGAACCCAATTCGCAACATTCGAAGCTCAGGTATTCAGCCACCTCGGCCCAAAACCCACCTCGGTGTAGAGGCACCTCGACACCCAATCCAGTTCGGGACTAAAGAATCGAAGTTCAAGTTCGGAGCTAATGAGTCGAAATGCTACATAACCGACTCCAAAGGCCTCCCCAACAGATCCTGAATTTCCCGAGATCATGATGAGAACTCGTCCCGGCTCCGCCTGAATCGGAGGTAAACGATAAACCTTATCAACATATTACTCTCCTTCAAAAACGGAAAAAACCTTATCTCCACTACCCGGAGATCCCGAAGCTCTATCGTAAGGCCCACGACTACTCCAGTATATAAAGGCATGAAACCTCAAGGCAAAGGTACGCGTGATTATTCTACTCACTAGCACTCAAGCTCTCAAGCATTCAGCTCGCACTCACAGCATAAGTACTGACTTAAGCATCAGAGCGACCTTGCCGGGTTAGCTACCCTGGGTTCTCTGATTCACTGTTTTGCAGACCGGTCCAACTCACCGCCCAGTTGGAGTTCGGATCGCCTTCCATCTTGAAGTAGCCAGATCGCGCACCATCAATTGGCTTCGTCTGTGGGAAAACAATCGAAAGTTCATCCCTATTTCTTTACAATTTCAAACTCAATCACAACCGCAATGGCATCTTCCTGCCACGCCGGAAGGTCCTATGGTATGCATCGGCCAGTTTACTATTCTGCTCACAGTGTCCGGAGTCCCGCCATTGTCCGCACCCCAGAGCACCACGCAAGTGAGCATCCCACTTCCCCTAGTGGTAGGCGCAACTTTCTCTGAACCATTCGTGGTTCCCCCCGGAATCGGGCATTCCTAGTTCCATGACCTCATTTAGTGCATTCGGGCAATTCAAGTCCAGATGCAACAAGTCCAACAATTCCAGTAATACCAGCAGTACTATCTATAACAGCAATATCAGCACCAGTTCCCTCCACTGCAATCGAACTAGCAACCGGTTCCGCCTCGGCACCGAGGGCCCCGTCAGGGCCAGAACCCAAATCGGCCTAGAACCAACCAGAACATCAGCCGATCTCCCCATCGGGGTGAAGAGACATCGCAAGTACCGATCCCTCTCAGGAGTCAGACTTCACCCCGTGGGAGGAGAGATGGTCAGTACACTCCTTCAGTCTCGCAAGGAAATATCAGAAACAAGTCTGGCGATAGTCAGCCCAACAGGACCAATCCGCCTCGGTACTCCCTGCAAGAAAATAATGGCTTGCAAGCAGATAATAACCAATTCGGAGTTCGAGGTGCAAACTCGAGACAAGACCTCTCCGTCCCTCGTGATAGCCAGTTCCAGCCCCACAACCAAGAGAATCCAACGAGAACGAACTAGGATCTACCCCGTAATAATATCGAAGTACCAGACCATACTGAAGTTAGCAGCACCAACGCCGAGCCGGTGAAGAAGCAGCAGCGACGTCGCAAAACACGCCGCCCCTCGGCCAAGAACAGCCCGTCGGCGAAGCCAAGCCAGCAAGCATAGCAAGCCAAAGGAAAGGAAGCAGTGAGCTCGGTAGCTACAAAAACTGCGCCTCCACTATTTTGCTGGTCATCCCCTCTGTCTCCCGAGCTCTTGGCAACTCCAATGCCAAAAGATTTTAAGATGCCCCCATTAGACAAGTATGGCGGATCGTTTAACTCCAACGACCATGTAGAATCTTTTCAGTCTTAGATGCACCTACCTGGGGCTAATAAGTCCTACATGTGTGTGGCATTCTCCACTACGTTTAAGGGGGTAGTCCGAACTTGGTATTGG